GGATTTAACAGAACTGAAACCACATTTCATGAAAACCTTCCTGAATCATAAAGCTTCTCAAATAGATTTTAACATTAAAATGTCACCGCTTAGACCCTGTAGCATAGTATGTGAGCAATGCTTTTAAAAACATTTACCTCTATGGAATGTGTCACAGTGCTGATTATAAAAATTTGTCCACCACATGCAGCCCAAATGGTCTCCTCCATCACAAGCAGACTTCTAACAGGCAGAACCCCCAATTTAACTATCTTCTGAGGTTCTGTGTTCCACGTCCCATCTTCAACAAAAAAGAAGAAGAAAGGTTATACACAAAATGGTAATCTTTGTTTTAAAACAGTTTTGAAAACACTATCTCTCAAGCCTACTGCTGAATGTCTGCAAGTTGCCACTTCAAGCTACACTATGATTTATGTATGTTTAATTTTAGCTTCCAGGGTTAAGTTTGTAAGGGTAATACAACATTAAGGAGAAAATACAAAACCAAACACTCATAAATTTGTTCAGTTAACAAATAGATCTGGATTAATTGATCAACAAGGCAACCCACATTGCTGTTGATACAACTGCTTTCCTTTCCAGAGGAAATAGAGTCAGAAAGCCATGGCTGATATAATTTTCTCCAACTCAGAAGGAGCTCACAACCGAGTTATTTCAAGATGAATCAACTTCCAACTAGGACAGAATCATCTTTCACGTGAAAAGCAGTCAGCAAGATTTTTACTGTAGGTTCGAATGAACTCAGATGACTCTCTAAGAGCACGTTGATGGGATGGACTTCCTGCTACTAGATGCTTCACTTAAGAAGAAAATTTTGTTTAAAAATAAAAGAAAACTTAATTTTGTGCCATATCTTCACTTTTCCTATTTTTTCCCCTAACTATAATCCACAGTGTTTTCTGTGGACTGCATTTAGCAGATCTAAATTACATTATGCATGTGTATGTAGCACGATCAATTATTGAGAGACCTTCTGATAAAAACTGCATGCCGCCACTTACCGCTCTGGTCACTTGCCATCTTTTTGAAACAAGGATTAGCAGATTATTTCTCTCCAAATTTAAGAGCTAGCCACATGGGCTTCTTCGAATAGTTGTAGCCGTGTCTTTTATACATACAATTTGACATACTAAATATGTCAATAATAATTATTTTAATAATTTTACATTAGTTTATTTCCATTGTAAGCACTCATTGAACATGAAGTCTCAAAGATCACATTTCTATCCATTATCCTTTAGTAACAATATAAAAATCTGTTAGAGTATCTGGTTTTACATTGAGATGAAATATCAAAAAGGCCTCATCTCCTCACTTTAAAGCCTTCTTCCTGCATAAGCTGCAGAAAAGCTGCCTACTTTACTGACACCGGTTTTAACTCTGTAACCACTTAAATTTTGATTGATAAGACCAAGGTAAGCACATCTTTAGGCAAGCACTTAAGCACAACTTTTCTTCCTTTCCTCCCCTGATAACAAGTGCATCTTTTGTTATCCGCTTAGGTAAAGGGGTATGAAATTTCCTGCTTCCCAATAACAGCAGCAACAACAATGAGAAGCCTCAGCTCCGGAGTACTTCTCATTGCTTCTGCCATCTGCATGATACAACCTTCACTGAGTCATTCTCAGGATGGGGCTCTCTTCTGAAAGCATCTTTGTAAAAATGACATTTAGTTACAGGCCATCAAAATCGCTTTCATGATTTTAGTTTGCAAGTGAGAAGACTGTTTCCAGTTATTAGCCTGCAAACTCTCCCAGTAATGTCAAAGTCACTCCCTGTTCTTGGTGACTCATAGGTACCATCAATAATAAAGAAACTTCTGGAAAGTTTTCATTTGTGAGCAACCACATTATTCTCAAATTAAATTCTTAAATGGAGGCTGCCCCTATCCTACAAATGCTTTAACCACCGCAGGGCAGAACCGCACGCGTGTGTGTATCCTGACTTTCATTGCCCAAGTTAGGCCAACTGCAGAAGTTGCAACAGCATCCAGTACGTAGCATACTCGTGTTTCCTTTTTAGGAATAAACCCAGCATTAATTCTAGCATGTACTTACTGTCTCTTTGAAGGATAGAGACTGTGGATTTGGGCGAAGGGCAGATATGCTGAGCAAGAAGCTATCTTTTTTCTGTAGTTATGTTTTCACACTGAACACCAAATTAATGTACAGACAAAACCATTCATGGAACTCAACAGCTCTTTCTCTTAAATACGTTCAAGCGATACATGAATCTACAGGTAAAGCACAGCTGATACTGAAGTGACAGGTAAATAGGGATTTGCAGAATCTCAACTGTGGATTCAGATTTAAAATTTGTTTAAATTTCACTTCAAGCATCTAAGTTTCTTTGGTGTTTTTTTTTTTTAATCTGGATCTTCATGCCCTCAACTTCCATGCAACTCAGATGGCTAAGCATTAAGCCGTATGATTAATTTTGAGCAAATCTTATTTAAAATTATTATCTAGCGTTTGTAATAGTTTTGAATGAAAAGGAAAATCACTACTGATGTCAGATGGATGTCAACTGCAAAACAGTAATTCTGAAACAACTTACTGCAAAGTAAGAAGGTGAGTTCAATATTACCAATGTTATGAATACTACCAGTTATATGAATATTTGATTCAACAAACATGCATATCAAAACTCAGTTGTCACAAAAACATTTTCTGTTGGTGCTGTTAGCACAGCACTTAACAATCCAGTTATCTTTAAGAGTTCAGTGGGATTGCACACATAAAAAAGGTGAGATAGAGAGCTGATGTCTTTCACATTACCATGACTTCACGGAAAGAAACTGCGATCCCACTTGATATATCAGCCCAGGACAAATCCAAAGCTGTCACTCTACCCAGATACCCTACCCATGTGATAAGGCTATTCTGTAGTACTTTTTTATTTCTTCCTGCAAACATTGCTGTCTTCCAGACCAGACAGCAGCTGCAGCAAATGAGGGGAAAAAAAGGGCAGGGGGAGACTCTCTAGCCTGGTAATTAGGGCAGTATTTAAATGATGGGTCAGCTGTGTTCTGGTCCCTGCCTTGGTGAACGCTTAGTTAATTATACAAAGTAGAATGGCACCGGGAGAAGAAATTAAGAACTGTCAGTGTCTCTCCTCTTCTTTTGTGGCAGCCAGGGAAATCTCTTGAGAGTTGGAAGCATGGGTACAAATCCTCTCATGCAAGGCAAGGGATTAAGCCTGGTAATCCCACATACTTCTGTCAAGGCTTTAACCACAGGCTGCTGGCTAAAAGCAAGATCACGACTTCATTTTGCTGACCAAGAATTTTATCGCCTGTAGCGAAAATTACTTAGCAAGTCTGTGTGTAGTTCACAAGTTGTTTCAAGACTCTTAAAAATCACACTTTTAAGAAAACATAATATTATCTCTGCCTCTTTCTCCAGATCTCAGCAGACCCTGTTCAATACCTGCCTGCGCAGACTTCATGCGTGACATTGGCTATTTCACTTTATCTGCCTGGTCCAAAGTTCATTGCTGCTAAAATCTAAGTGAAAAGAAGTATTATCTCTATTCTACGTGTGTAAACACCTGCAGATTCAAGGCATACTTATGTAAGCAGGTCCAAGAACTGGCACTATCCAAGTATTTAAAATTAGGTGCAGCACTTGCAAAAGATAAGAAACAGTTTTGTTTGATGTTATAAATCCTTGGTTAGTTACTGATTTAATAAATTGATTTTTTCCTAAGAAAAAAGAAAAGAAGCAAGAAACAGGAGCCGAGATACAACTTTTGCCAACAAAATCTCAAGGCATACAATAGGACGAAGCCAGTGGAAGGAGCCCAGCAAACTATTTTCTGAAAGGCAGGAATTGAGCAAAAGAAAAATAAGCAATGGAGATGTATATAACACAGTTCCTGGAGACCTGGCTGGAAAATACCTACAGGAGTACCCACAGAAGTGTGGCTTGTCTTAAAATTCCGTTCAGTCGATGCCTTGTTTCTGTTCTCTAAATAAGCACTGTTTTCGTTTTAGGAAGATTTTATGGTCATCTTTGTATCTAGAACGCTGAAAAGCCACAGACAAAGTCGTCTTCTATCTATAAGCTAAGCATATAGATACTGAATGAGATGCAATATGCAGTACATATATCCTGTAACCAGAGGCTATGTATGTGGAAAAATCAGTTACCTGCACTCTCAGCAAATACAAGATGGAAGCCTGACACCTGTGGAAATGGGAAAGAAACAGCGGGAGAAGACAGGCGTTTTCCTTCTGGTTTGTGAGAAATATCCATGTAAGTATTAACAACACATAAAGATTACTGTATTTGCAAGTTGTAGTTCACTTGGATTGTAAACTGACCACATCAAAGCAGGCAGCGACTCTTACTATAGATCCACCAAATGCCTAGCACAGAAGACCTGACGGTCTCTGTAACTTTACTGTAATAGAATACAGGCATCTATAGGAATTGCAGGTACAGCTATTTGCAGGAATGAGTCAAGTCTACAAAATCTGAGAACAGAGTCAAATATAAAAACAAATCTAGGGGCTTCCAGAAATAAGATGTCATAACTTCTGATATCTGCATATTAGATGAATATTTAAAACATGAGAACACAGTTTTTCAGCACTATTGTATCTATTCCATAATAGATCTGTGCTATGCCACTATTTGTAATACCCTCTGTAAGTTATATTTCTCCAATAGCTACGTGCCATAATTTATACCCCAATGTTGATCAGTATCTTGCAATCCTTGTATCAGGCTGTTTAGCCGCATCAAAGTAAGGCATCTTATGCTCATAAAATATTTCTAAGACTTTAATGCATAAGGACACTATTTCTATTAGTGCATTTCGTTATTAGTCTCATAATTTTTATGAATTTTAGAAAATCAGTTATCCTTCTATTCAAATTTAAACAGACAGGAAAAGTTTAAAAACAATGCTCATTTTATAGGACAGAATGTTGGCTATTTTATCTTTCTGTGATTTGTTTCCATAAAACCCAGTGAAAGAAAGTAATATTATTTTACTATAATTTATAAAAACAAGTTTTGTCTTATTATTTGACTTACAAATAATTTAGTAATATTTAGTATTTTTAATAATTATAATTCATTGAAGCTCTCAAGTCATCATATGAGATAACCTCATAAAACATAGTTTATCTCCTCAGAAAGTCTTTTTAAGGTTTGTAGTAGTTTTCCCTCCCTTTACGCTTTCAGTCGAGCTGAACCGAACATGCTTTTTTGTTGGTAGCTTCCTCTCTTGCTTAGCAGCACTATTGATGATTTCAACTGAGCTGCCAACGCA